TTTGTCTCAAAATAGGGGAGGCTAACAAATTGGTCAGATTGGTGGATTCCTTGTTGGCTTCCCTTTAAACCAACCCCAAAACGGGTACCCTTCTTCAAAAACGAGCCACCTGTATGTCACAGGGCCACGAAGGCGCTCCCATAACAAGCAGTCAGGCTGGGGGAAGACATGCCGTTTTGCGGCTACCCTTTTGGGCAAACACAGAACGCAAACTGCCGTGGCTATTTTCCCGAACCCGGGCGGGTTCGGAAAACTAAAAAAAACTACTTTGATTGCCCAAACCGTGCCCACTGAAGGTGGTCCGGGGTACACCCCCTTGAATTTCTGAGGCTTCGAAGAGCTTAGGTTTAGAGCTCTTAATCAAAACTTGGTCTTCCAAGGGCCCGCAAAAACCAGGGGTCCTTCTTGATGTTGCTCTTGCATGGTGCAAAAAAGAACATCAGCCAAAGGCCCGGCTTTTCCAGGATCCCGGAAGACAAGGAATCTTGCTGCCCCTTACTTTCCACTTTTCCATGGTCCGGCTGTTTGAGGGGAACGAGGCCGACGGTACGGGGAAAATAACCGGGAGGCTCCGAAGGTTGGGGTTTTGGCTCCGCCACAGGCCCCGGATCGGACTGCCCAAACAAATTCACCGAACTTTTTCTAGGTCCTCCAGTAGCGAGGTTAGAATAAGAGGACCTTTTTCTTGGTTTTTCTCGGTAGTCTCTTTTAGTAGGGGAACCCTCCCCCCAAAAAAGCGGAGAGACGGGCACCTACCTGGGGGAGCTAGTTTTGGTTGGTTTTCCCACAAAAATGGTCCAAACCCAAACAGGCGCTGAGAAGCCCTTTTCTAGGGGTACCTGCCATTTCCATTCTTTCTAGGGATCCTTCTTTCCAGAAACCTCCAGAATCCAAAAAAAACGGCCGGCTTTTGAAAAGAACGATGGTTGAAAAGAATTGACAAGGAATCAAGCCCCAGACTTTTGGCCGACAGGGCCGGACTTTCCAGCGGCCTTGATTTCAGCGGAAGGTCCTTCCCGAAGATGCTGCGGAACTTAGCGTCCAGCACCAAGCCCAGGGCGCGCAGGAAGTTCCTAAGAGCAGGGTCATGAATTGAGATCTTGGTTGCTGCAACGACCCTGCAAAAAGTTTAACTTTTTGGGGGTGTAGTGGAAAACATTTTTTCCCAACAAAGTTAAAGTCTAAAGATCCAACCCAATAGCAATCAATAGATGGTAAAACATGAGCAGGAAACTGATCCAAGGTGTGAAGCAATCACGCAGATCTTAGGGGCTGACTCACAAGGCACACAGGCGAGTGAAACTTCACTACACAGGGATGCTTGCAAGGTGGTTAAGGGAGCTTCGCAAGGTGAAAGGTGTGCAAGGTTGGCCAGGATCAAAGTTCAGGACAGGCAAGGTCTTTGTCGAATTTGAGTGAGCTGGCAAAGTTGAGGCCAGGGCAATACTCCCATGAAGGAATTGCTGAAGGCAGTAGCGAACCTTCGCTACACACAATGTGCCTGCTGTCCGTAGCTGGCTGCAACTTGTCTCGGGGAACTGAGGATGAATGGCAAACGCCAAGAAGCTATCAGCTCAGTTAAAATCTCATGATGCCGACTCAAGCAGAAGGACCGCTATTTGTCCGGAAAGACTGGACTAGGCGTGGGTTTTTGACAAGCCCTTGCTTCAACGTCGTGTTTTAACCCTGATGTTGACCCCAGATAAATAACCCCCTGTTGATTGTAATAGGGGATCCCTGTGTATGAAAGGGGGGATCTCCCTGGTTTAGTGGGGAATCAAACCATGTTTGGAGAACACCCCCAACCCCCCTATTAAATCGGGGTTGATTCATATGGGGTCAACCACCTATCTTCTTTTCCACGGGGCGCGAATGGCTGGGTACCTCGAGCCGAGGTGCGAGAGGCCTAAGAGCTGCAAGAACAGCCGCCGCGAGGCCTCAGCTGACGAGCAGGCCGCCAGCGACTTCATTCCCAGTGCTTCCGTTTCGAAACACAAAAGCAGGCGCTTCAGCCAGCCATCCGGTGCAGCCATCCGGCTTTTAGATCGTTTTAGGGTTGCCATTTCACCTATCCTCCAGAGAGGTTAGAACAAGGGTACCCACTTGCTTCTCTGCAGCCTGTTTTGTAGGGGAACCCTCCCCAAAAAAAAGAAACGGTAAAAGGGCACTTCTGGGGGACCTAGTAATCTACAAATTAAACTTTTAGCGCGAGGCCTGAGGCAGCCCAGTATAGTAGCTTCAAACCAGGAAGCCTTACCGAGCTTTTACCATGGATTCTTCTGAATACAGCCCACTATAGTGGCGAAGCGCCTGCAAAAGCACTGCGTATTGGAGCCTAGCTCCAAGTTGGGGGCAGAGTATGTGAAACCTTGAGCCTGAAGCGCGAGTGAGCAATGCCATCAGTCCCGACACTATCGTGCATATCAAGTGTCAGCAGGGGTGCAAGTGGTTGGGAGTTGAAGATTCCGCTTCTCGAAGCAAGCGCGAATTCACCTGCCCATTCCGGCAATGAGGAACAACAAACGACAACACTTAAGTAGCTCTCAGATTCCTCAGTCCCCAATTCCTGAAGAAGGCATAGTTATCTCCAACCTACGGTTGCCTCCCCTCGCCGCGTCACAAGTGCAGTTGGGTCGTGGTTGACTCTCCGCAGGTCTCGTATCCGCAGCTGCGTGTCGATCCTGCGCCGTCTTTGTGTGTGGCGCGGCCGGTGGATGGGTCCATCATTGTTGACCCCGGATGAATCAATTTGCTGAAACAAAATAAAGATTAAAATGATTTCGATTTGAACAAAACCCCTGTACAAAAAAAGGGGCTTATTAATCCTGGGTTGCCATTATGGGGTGTCTCTTGGAATCGACCTATTCAAGCTTGGCGAGGTTGTCACTAGTTGCGCCAAGTCGAGGCGATGCTTTTAGCCGAAGGACAGTAGGGCCAGAAATGGAGTGCAACAGCTTCACACAGATGCACTAATTGTGCCCAATAGGGATACTCCTGAACATTGCCAAAGGGCTTCAGGTTCAGGCGGCTGTGCGGGGGAATTGTTTCGGAGGCCCTCGGGATGAAATGTTCTTCCCATTGCGTTGCAGGATGTTGCAGGTGGCCATGGATACCGCAATGCAATGCTAACTGGTTTGCATCTGACAAGGTGAGGGCCAGCAATCCCAATCCTTCTCTGATTGCCGTCGCAGGGCCTGGCAAATCGCCGGCAACCGCAATGCACTTTCTGAGTCTGAAAGAGGCGGTGCACTCGATGGGGATCCAAACCCCCACTTGCCACCGCCAGAATTTCCATCCGCCCGTTCACAGGAAGACCGTGTGCGTGCGTGTCAGAACCGGGAACCGGGACCCCTCTGAAAAACATGTCAAATTGCACCAGCGGCCATCTAGTCCTTGGCCATCCCCAAAGGCACCTACCGGTTCCATTTACCTAGTCTTGCTCAGGGGGTGTTCTGGGGGAATTTGACCTGGGAAAAGCCCCGCGCTTCCGGAGCGCGCGGATTCGCCCAGAAAAGTCCCAAGCTGTTGGCTACCATCTTCCCAATGGTCGCCAAAACCCAAGAACCGGAAGTGAGAATTCAGCCCACACCTAGCGGCTGCCCCCCGACATCGCGGGACCCCACCGATTTGTGTTTTTCCCAGGAGAGAGTTTTCCCCCACTCGGTTGACGTTGGAAGGGGAGCAAAAATTCAAACTTTCGAAATTTTAGCGGTTAAGTGGGGATTTCCCGCTAAACCACAATAAGCAAAAATGTAAATGCTTCCCAACAACAATGCCCAATTCCTTGAGCTTTTCAGAGGCAACGATCCCGACGCCCCGGTCCAGTACTTGAGAGCCACCATGGCCGAGCTGAAGAAGAGCACCACATCAACGCAGGCCAGCACCCGCGAGCGATGCCTAGCTTCCGGCTCGCAGGAGTGACCCCTTTGAGCCACTTTCCCGGTGAGGGGTTTCCATGGCCCGGGTGGCCTATGTGACCCACGTGATGTTGGGAAGGCCTAGTGCCTCTGACGGCATGAATTTGTAGAGCCCGAGAACATTGAGCCGTTGCTTTGATTTGCTTTTTTGGCGGGCGCAGTAACACAGAATGCAACCGAAAACCACCGACGACCCATCGCAGATTGCCATGACCCCCTCTCAACGGAAGCCCTTGGAAACAAGGCCCTTGCAACAAGCTGTTGACCCCATGAGCAAGCGTTCCTAGCCCGCGCACCAATTGAACCCAGCAAGATGGGCACAATGAAACCCCAACCCCTTAATGTTATTTTGGTTTGTTGACCCCTCAAACATGGGCAATTCTTCAGCTGCAGGTAATACTCCGAGCTGCAGCTCCTCCAAAGACATGGTGTTGGGCTCCGACGGCACCGGAGCTGGCTGCCATTCCGACATGGCAGGCGGACCCGCGAAGGCGGGTGCCACGGCTGCAACACCTGAGCCTCCACAATCTACCGGACTGGGTGTAAGCAATCGGCAAATATTGAGGTTGGCACGATCTCAGCACCAAGCTTCATAGCCTTCGACATTTCAAGTGCCGCACCTTGGAGTCTCTGGCGGCTGCAATTGTTCAGGAAACTGCGGACGACGGACTCCACTTTGACATGGTCGTTCAACAATGCTTCCCGATGGGTGACAAGCTGATGAAGGCATACAAACACCTGACCTTCCGTCTGCCAGTGCCCCTCTTCGAGCCAGGGCTACGCGGCCAAAAGGGGGTGCTGGCTGGAGCGACCGACTGGCATGTTTGATCTCACCTCATCCCCCCAGGAACTCCAAGCATTGGACAAACTGTTCCCTCCGCGAGAAGCTCTGACCCCAGTTGTTCAGTGAACCTTCTAGAACGGGAACCCATTTGCGGTTGATCGCTTTGAGTGGGGAACCCACCATACAGAAGGGACAAAGGTGCCACTGAACAACTGGAAACCTTAGTAGAAAGCACCACCTAAGGTACCGTACCCTTGCACAGGCGCACACGTGGGGTGGCATGAAGGCATTCCCGCAGCCTTCTCCAGGCGCTTGCCCTCCTTAACCATCTTCCTCGGGTGCGACCCGGGCTGTGTTTTGTGGGGGGCGGGGTTCGGTTTGGGATGCTTCATGCGGAGCTACACGGAAGCCACTCGGCCCCCCTGTTTGGAGACAACCCGCGGTATGCTGGCTAGTGTTCTGGGCAGTGCTCAGACATGAGCAACCCTACCTGTTGTGGCTTCTGGATCGAGCTTCGGGGAATCTCCGTTTGTGGTCTAAGCTTGGAATATAGCTCTGGTTCCAAATCTGGCTCCTAGTTTTGAGGCTAGATTGTCCAGATTGAGGAAGGCGGTTGGCCAATCACTTCTGACTTGCCATTTTGTGGGAACGCTGGGACATCACTAGCAGGGCTGCATCGAACAGGGGCACAAATATCACCAGCGGGCCAATGACAATCTCCTTCGTATACGCTGGGAAGTGCATGCCTGTGAACGCGAGCGGAGGGCCACAAGCATTCATAGTACGCTTGAAGGTAAAGGAATGCGTTACCCCTTCTTGGATGGCGTTCGAAGAAAAAATCCAAAGGACATCCTTCTTTACTAATACCCCCCCAAAAAAAATCGGCTGCCCTATGCAAGTTGTTCAAAACCCGGGCGAAGCACATTGAGGCCCCAGCATCCGCGCATCATAGTCTCGGGCAGCCTGGGAGTCCGGCTCGAACCTCAAGTTGCACGGTCTCGTTGCACTCAAGGCACACCCAGGGACCTGACTCTGAGACGGATTCCCGAAACTGAAGCGACAGGGCTCGCTGGATTACCCGTCAAGATTCGATCCGTTTGGCCAAGTCCAAGGGGCCTGTTACTGGTGGGTTCCATTGAAATGATTCATCGGTTTCCACGTTTGGCGGTTCCAAAAGGGAAATGGTTCGGAAACGCAAGATTAGGGTACTCAACCATTGAGCCGATGTTGGACCGGGATTCACCTTCTGGTGGTGCTCCCAGTCAAAGATCCCCTGTCAACTTGGACCAATTAGGGATTTGGCACTTCCGAATCTCCAACCTCCTTTTGGGGAAATCCTGAAATCAAGGGCATTTCCAGGTGTGGACTTTGAAGGCATGAATGCTTTCCGACCAACAAGCGAGATCCTGGATGTGACAATGCCCCTCCTTCAAACGTGAACCTGCGCAGGCTCCGAGAGGAAAGTTGTATTCCAAAAAGGTCTCGAGACCACTTCCATGTTTCTTGGTGGCTGGGTAGAATTCGTCTGGGAAAGTGAGTTGGGTTGGCGTCTGCAAAGGGAAAACCAAAGAGGGAATGTTTCCAAATCCTTACTGTGGTTTAGCGCCAATCCTCTACTTGATTGACATGATTGAACTCCCGCGATTTACATGCTCTCCTTGTAGGCTTCCATTGAAGCTCTGGTTCTTCTGGATCAAATCTGGTTGCGATCCTGCTCATTGCCAACCTGAATGTGCAACTGCTAGCGCCCTGGTATTTGCTTGAGTGGGGCACGTCAAAAAGGCGGCCACCCATTTTGCAAGCAGCCCCCCTGCGTAAGCATGGGCTGAGGTAGGTGGGCAGTTGGGGGCCCAGCTGCGCAATGCTTGGCTGCAAGAGCACTGAGAGGTGATGTAGACTCTTTGCGGGGCTCTGAGTGAAGGGCCCCAAGGAAACCACGCCAATGAACCCCCACTCCTAAACGGGAAATCATATGATTACCCCCTGGGCTGCACATCTCGTTTGCTTTCTGCTCCCCTGCTAAAAGTTTCACTCTTAGCGCGGTTTACTGGAAACCCATTAGTTGGCAAAAAGTTAAAGTCCTAACATCCCTGGGCAACATGCACCAGAGACTTACTTTTTTTTCGTGGAACAAGGCCTCTGAAAGGATGCGGATTTCCTCCCTCGACTTTCTGGGTGCTTTTGAGGCCCCGGGCTCCTCCTCCTCCCCCGGCCGCGGATCGGTGGAGGGCCCCTCGGATCGCGTCGATGGGAATGAGTCTGAAATGGATCCGTTGTTCTTTTCTTGTTTCATACCAAAAAAAGAAACAGAGACCCATTTCCGGGCCACCTGGCCATGGGTCAAAACCCCAAAACCCAACTCGCGCCCCCAGTGAACGGGACAACAGGACCGATTCAATCCAACCACGAAAAATAGGTCCTAAAATAAGTGGTGCATTCACCTATCCCAAAATGGTACGTGCCATTGGTTTTGAACCATGGCCCAATGGATCCAGGCGTGGGCCCCTCAAAAAGGATCAGCCACCCAAAAAGGCTAGGTGGTTGGTTTTTTAGGGGCGGTCCACTTCTCATTCCCCAGTGAATTGTTTGAAAGTGCCATGCTTCTTCGGCTCTGTGGTGCTTCAGTGGTAGCGCCAAATTCTAACTCGGCAGGTAGCATGATCCCCTGAATTGATTGGAGAACCCAAGCTCTCGCGATGCTTGAGTTTATTCTGCAAACAAGTAATTACTCCTGAATGTGGCCAAGTAAGGTACATCTGGAGCGCAAAAAAAGCACGCAACCACACCAAGGTGACTAAAACAACACCGTTGCACTTTTCAAAACCATGCTGCTCTGATTTCCTCTGCCAACGGCAGGCAGAAAGTGCCTCGTTGACAAGGCTGATGCCAAAACATGTCTGCCATGCATCAGGCAAAGCCATGCCACATGGAAAACCCTCGGCTCCAGTTTTCGCTGACCTGAGGCGCACACCAAGGCGCCCCGCTTGTGAGGCCCACTGGCCCCGAACCTCGTGCACCGTGCGGCTGGGCACGCTGGGCCCTCTTGGCAGTAAACCGCTGCTCGAGGCACTGGAGTCAACAGCTCCCTCTTTAAATCGGCTCCCTTCCAATCGCTCGCCTTGTAAAAGCCTTGTTTAAGTTAGGGGCCATCAGCAACAGGCAGCTTTGGTCGAATGCTTCGAGGCATGTGCTATGCACCCCAGGTGTTTTGCGTCAACTCGGTGGCCTTTCCGACCTCACACACGCATGAGTCGGCCAAGTGCCAGGCATCCAAAGGGACAGCTGACGAACCCGAGAAGTGCTACCCCGGAGTCTGGGTGCTTGAGGCTCCTATAGCTCATGAAATCTTATGAGTCAGGACTTGACCAGCTTGTCTCATGGAGTGACAACACATGCGTACAGCATTCTCGGGCGTGTAGCCCAACCACAAGCAACTGCTGGGCTAATTGAAGTTAGGCATCCTGAGATGTGTCGCAGTCCCAACTAGACTCGAATGAGTTGAATGTGGTTGCGGGACGGTCGTCATCATGAAGTGACACCCTATTCTGACACACGACATGTTCAAGAAACGGCTTGACCATATTTGATTGAACGCCTTGGCTAGTCCAGTAGCCACGAACATAATCTTGCTTTAGATCCCTGACCCGTTGGGAATGCAAATGAGGTCGACATGGACATGCGGCTCCACTGCTCCGTTCCAGCTGATTGGAGCCGAGCACGGGAGCGTAGGCCATCTGCGTGGGAGGTCCATGGGGACCCCTTGAAGTCAAGGCCTGCAAGAATTCATGGGTACATGGCTACAAAACCCCATGTTTAATGGATGGAGACTTCAGGAAGTCTTTGAAAGGCATGTCATCGAAATATGTTGAGGACAAATGTTTCTGCAACAGTACGATTCACACATCTTGCCAGAATCTTTGTCCTCCACGTGTCATCATACCGGGTCTTACTGGATCCTGAATTCACCAAGCAGTAGACACCTTTTAGGCTGGCATGGCGGTGCGTGTGCATAAGCGCAGTGAGGCCTGGAATGAATGGGGCCGTCGCCAGTCGAAATATCACACCTTTTGGATTGTAGGTATTCTTCAAGGGGCGACTGAGTAAACAAACACAACATCTGACTTTCGAACGGAACCCCCTCGAAGTTGAATGCCTAACTCGCAAGCAGCACAAGCTCAGAACCATTGGCCTTTGGTGCTACGTGGAAGACTCGGATGGAAAAAAAAAAACAAACATGCCCTGGAACCAGCGTTCTGATGCCCAAACCTCCGCCAAGCGCAGGCGGTTCATCATTTTGCTCGCAGCATGCACTGCTCCATGGCATTTTGCAGAGACTTCATGAGAGGGCGCGTGCGGAGCAAGATGGCAATCGGTTTTGTTGTATGGGCATGAGAGACATTGGCCAAACATAATTTCAAGTTGTCCAATGGGATGTGCCTATGACTCCACATCAACATGCCGGTTTTGGTTCATTATAACTCAGTGGGACATGTTGTTTGAATTATCCAAAGATGGTCAGGACCTTGGCCATGTCAAGTGGATCGGTCAACCAAAAATGCATCAGGCTCATTCATCACTATTCTTCTGGTCTGATTCGTGAGTGCGCCTCTCGAACGCCCCTCGCACACATCGTGCCACTCACATGCGGGATGCAGCGCTACGCTTCCAAACGGAATGGCAGCCGACCGCTGGTGACTCACTTCCTCGAAATCGCTATGGGCTGCCCCTTTCAAAAGCGGATTGTGGGTCAAACCAGATTCTTGAACTGCGTGGTGTATGTGTGCCACGTCGCTGCATGCTAGAAGAAGTGCAGCACTCCTTTTGCAGAATTCGTGCTTGTGGTAGTGTGTGTTGCTCACACCGTCACAGCCGCAAGCCACTCTGCGCACTCGCGGAACCTCGGCATGCATCTCATGACTGCAAGCCCTGACCCAACTTCCCCAGCGTTCTGACCTCAGCGAGATTTACCAGACGTGGTACACTCATAGCAGTCCATCAATCAACAAGCTCAGGCTCGTGGGGCCTTCCAGCCCCCCCCCCCCCCTCCCAGGAACAAGAGAACAAGACCCCCTGATGACTAGCTGGTCGTGAGTCCCCGCAGGCCCCAAGCCGAGAAAGGCAAGGGAGTGCTTCCTCCTTTTCTTCTTTTTTCGGTAATCTCGCAGATCATTCGAATCTCGGCGCAGCTTGCTGGCTTGCTGGGTGAGCGGAAGGGCTTAACAAAGCACATGCATTCAACTTGTGGGAACCCCACACGGGTGGCTTGGCTTTGGTCCCCATTTCAGACAACGCCAGTTGCGGTGCGCCAAACAACGATAGACTCATATGAGCACAAGCTGCCAAGAAATGCAATGCTTCCTGCGCCCACCCATCGGCCCGTCATGCGCGAAGGCCAAAAGGGCCCAGAAGACCAGACACCCCAAAAGGGCGAAGGGCGAAACTTAGGATGTGCGCTGCTTCTTCTGGCCATTGCCATAGACGGAGTAGTCTACACAGCGGCAGTTCTTCATGCCGCACTTCCTTGGCAGCCAGCCGCTGGCTTGGGAAACTCATGCGCAGAGGGACCCCACAACGAATAAACTGAACATGCCTTGCAACCGTAAGGGGCTTACAGGAGCAGCCTGCAGTTGCAGGTTCCAAAAGGCGGCTCCAGTGAGAGGCAAGTTGGTCCCAAGAACCAAGTTCGGCTTCTTTTTTGCCATGGCAGTCAAAACCAGAGCGACCCCTTTTGCAACATTTCAGTTGTCACCCACCAACCAATTGGAGCACGTGGCCCCCATTTCGAACAGAACATAAAAGTCGTCTTCCACGAGGAGTCTCTGCACTTCCATCTCCGGGAAAAGGTCTCCCAAATGGGGTTTTCGAAAGATTTCCGGAAAGGAACAAAAGCTCAGATGCCCAGTGGCCGTGGGAAAAAAGGACATCCTTTTTTGGTCGGTTGACTTTAAAGGGGAACCCTTCCCAACAAGAGGAAAAAAGGGCACCACGGAGCAACTGGGAAAACTCTGCCTTATTCCGGCCTACGTCAAAAACACCCCGCCCGTCTCGCGCTCCGAACGAAGCGGCCGGCAGAACTCGCCGCGCATTGCCAGGGCCATCCTCGCGAGTGCAATCGCTGGGGAAGAGGTGAGCCAAAAAGAAGTTGAAGGGAACATGCAAAGAGGAACCTAAGGCAGCAAATCATTAAGGTCACCTGGAATGTGAAGGGTTCACGAAGGATGTCCCACTTGGCTGGCTTTCACCCTCTTCGGGCTGGGGAACTTTGCAAGAACACATGTCACACACTTCGCATGTGGCCTTGACACTCGTAGATCCGCCCCCGTTTCTGGCGGGAAGGATATCAAAACACAACTTTTTTAACAATAAAAAAGAAACTTTTTTTAGCAATCAAAAAAAAACTTTTTTAGCCATCAAGAAAAAACTTAATGCACTCAGGGCTGCATTTACTGAGAAACGTGTGTATCAAAAGGAACACGCAGTGCACGCGCACGGACACGGTCTCATCACACGTGCTGTAGCTGCGGGGTTACTCTTTTGCGATGGTCTGGGCGAGTAGCGGGGGGGTTGGGGGGGAGGGGTGGCAGCCCCCCACCATGATGATCAAGAAAAAAAAGTTTCAACTGGGGCAAAAATCCGAGAAGTAGCGGGGGGGTTGGGGGGCCCCATGGTGATCGAACAAGTGATGATTCAATTAGGGGTAAACAATTTAACAAGTAGCGGGGGGGTTGGGGGGGGCGGCAGCCCCCCCATGATGATCGAAAAACTGATGATTCAACTAGGGGCAAGAAATCTAAATAACCAGCGAGGAGGCAAAAAATCTAAAACTGCCCCTTAGATTTTTTGCCCCTAATTGAATCATTCGATCGTCATGCGGCAGCCCCCCGCCCAACTTCCCCCGCACTTTTCGATTTGTTGCCCCTAATTGAATCATCACTTTCTGGATCAGTAGCGGGGGGGTTGGGGGGGGCGGCAGCCCCCCCCCATGATGATCGAAAAACTGATGATTCAATTAGGGGCAATAAATCTAAAAACCAGCGAGGGGGCGTACAATCTAAAAAGTAGCGGGGGGGTTGGGGGGGGCTGTCGCCCCCCCGCGATGATCGACAAAGTGAGCATTCAAATTGTGGCCAAACATCTAAAAATAGTGGGGGCGTTGGGGGGGCTGCCCCCCATGATGATCCAGAAAGTGATGATTCGATTAGGGGCAAAACATCTTGAAGTGGCGGGAAGTTCGGGGGGGGGGGCTACCGCATGACCACAAATGTAAAAGTAGAGGGGGGGTTTGGGGGGGGGGTGGCAGCTCGATGATCAAGAAAATAATGATTCAACTGGGGCAAAAAATCTGAGAAGTAGCGGGGGGGGGGGGGCAGCCCCCCAATGGTGATCGAACAAGTCCCCCCCCATGATGATCAAAAAACTGATGATTCAACTAGGGGCAAGAAATCTAAATAACCAGCGAGGAGGCAAAAAATCTAAAACTGCCCCTTAGATTTGTTGCCCCTAATTGAATCATTCGATCGTCATGCGGCAGCCCCCCGCCCAACTTCCCCCGCACTTTTCGATTTTTTGCCCCTAATTGAATCATCACTTTCTGGATCAGTAGCGGGGGGGTTGGGGGGGGCGGCAGCCCCCCCCACCCCCATGATGATCGAAAAACGGATGATTCAATTAGGGGGCAAGAAATCTAAAAACCAGCGAGGGGGCAAAAAATCTAAAAAGTAGCGGGGGGGTTGGGGGGCCCACGATGATCGAAAAAGTGAGCATTCAAATTGTGGCCAAACATCTAAAAATAGCGGCGGGGGGGTTGGGGGGGGGGGGTGGCAGCTCGATGATCAAGAAAATAATGATTTAACTAGGGCAAAAAATCTGAGAAGTAGCGAGGGGGGCAGCCCCCCATGGTGATCGAACAAGTGATGATTCAATTAGAGGTAAACAATTTAACAAGTAGCGGGGGGGTTGGGGGGGGCGGCAGCCCCCCCCACCCCCATGATGATCGAAAAACTGATGATTAAATTAGGGGCAAGAAATCTAAAAACCAGCGAGGGGGCAAAAAATCTAAAAAATAGCGGGGGGGTTGGGGGGGGGGGGTGGCAGCTCGATGATCAAGAAAATAATGATTCAACTAGGGCAAAAAATCTGAGAAGTGAGAAGAAGCGGGGGGGGCAGCCCCCGCTCCCCCCCAATGGTGATCGAACAAGTGACTATTCAATTAGGGGTAAAAAATGTAAAAAGTAGCGGGGGGCGGGGGTTGGGGGTTGGGGGGGGGCGGCAGCCCCCCCCAGATGATCGAAAAACAGATGATTCAATTAGGGGCAAGAATA